TTCAGCATAAACAGAAAAACAAATCAATCGCCTTTTTAATCTGCACTTTCTGTAAAATTTTCTAAAACTTTTTGGAAATTATTTAAAAGGGTGACATCATATTTTAGTGGTAGAATATTGTTCTGACACTGAATTAATATCTACAAATGTTAATTACATTTACGATATTTCTTTCATTTTTCTGTTAAAAATGTAGGACTGKATCAGGTGCAATACGATGTTTCTAGAAGCGGTTTTCTGAGGAATGCTTCAGGCATGGTAACCATTAAAGTCAGTCTATAAGATGGCCCACTGGAAATTAAAATATCTACTTTTGTAAGTGACCATTGTTGAGTGCAATTAATCATTAGGACTATTAGTTTTGGGGTTTTCCTGCTAGTGTTTCACTGAGAAGATAATCTCAGGCAGGAAATTCCTTTTTTTTATCCTTTTGCTGAGCTGAATCATGCACAGCTTTGTTGTTCAGAACTTCACGTGAAAGCGTTGAAAGGCTCAACCGTTATGACCATCGTGCATTTTATGATTTAGTGCTAGATTCTTGACCGTAATAATGAGTTTTCATGAAAACCAAACAAAAAAATGCCTGCTTTTAAAGGGAGGTGTTTCTGGACAAATGTGATAATTTATTTGTGCACTCATCAATCCTGAACCTCAACGAGCAGGACCGGGGTCGACACACATGTTAATAATCCAAACTGTTTCCACAAAATGTTTAAAAAGGAAATATTGGAGACATTTAAAACCGGCATCGAGTCTGGATCGGAATGCGCTTTAATTGCCGTCCTTGGCAAAGGAAACGGGCTCGAGTAGTTGACCTTGCCCGCTGTTGGCAACGTTCTGAAGAGCACGCCTCCGTTTTTAACACGACCAGTCAGCCTCTTCCTGCCAAATCAACGAGAGACAATAATTGTTGCTGATAACAATGAGCGAACGCTCAGCCGATGGGCCAACCGGACGAAATTCTGATCATTTCTGCGGTTTGCAAAGCAGCGTGTAGCCAAAATTATACAACAAAATGAAATTCCTCATGATGGATGACTTTAGGAGGCCTGTGGATCAGAAYAGCCATCCAACACTGGGATGAGTTCCCAAATCTCTGCATAATGGCTTCAGCTGCCTTGTCAGTCACCTGAGCTCATTCCGCMTCCCAACCAAACCGTCAGTAATGAGTTGGTCAAACGTGACCTGACAAATTGATTTGGATTTCCATCTCATGAGTGCTTTCATGAAGCAGTCCCACTGTCCAGGTTTGCCAAAATGTTGTCATGGAAGGAAYAGAAATGAAGAAACGCAATAAGCAGAGATTCAATAAAAAAAACCCAACAAGCCTTTGATCAGCTGAGAAGATACAGAAAAGCTAAAAGCTAAAAAGACACATCATCCGATTTAGATGGAGGTTGGAAAAAAATCTAATTATGTTATGATTTGTCTGAACTTGAGCGAGAAATACAAACCCACAGCTGGTTTATTTTAGCTAATAATTCTGTCTCCTGCCTCTAAAACAGCCTCATGTGCAAACAATCATCCACACATTTAGTGGAAAATCATAATATATTTTTAAAAAATTTTCAACAAATATTTTGGGAAGATTCTTGCATGTTTTGCGTTATTAGTTATTTTTCTAAAAACACGAATTCTGAGCAATAAATTAAAAAAAATGATATTTTTTTCCCTACATGACTCAACTTGTGTTTATCAAATGTGAAAAGACACAAAGAAAGGAAGTTGTATAGTATGGGGTGCCGTTTGTAAAGTTACACAGTCAAAAATTACCACCAATATTTTTGTTTTATTTAGCCTTTTATAAGAAAAAAGAACAGATTTATTTTTCAGTCAGTTTTCCACCAGATAAGATACGATAAGATAAGATACGATAAGATAAGATAAGATAAGATAAGATAAGATAAGATAA